AGCATATGAGGAACAGTATTCTACGTTGATATTTAACAGATACTAAGGTTTTGGGTTAAAACTTGCATCTGCTATATAATAGCAGTGTTTTTATAATCTTGATTGACTGTGCCTGGTGTTTTTTTTTTAAGAACAACAATAACCATGTGCCATCCAGTCAGTTTTGACCGATGGTTTCAGGGTTTCCCAGGTAGAGAATACACAGAAGTGGTTTACCACACTCTTCTTCTGTGGGCAGCCTGGGCAGCGCAGCTTGCCCAAAGCCAAGCAGGTTAGCACTACTCACAGGTGGCACCCTGGGGAATCAAACTCCCAAGTTAAACTATTGAGCTATTCTATATGTGTGGTTCTGGGTTGATCATGCTCATGCTGGGCTGAGCATGGCAGAGGACAGCAAAGAGCTGCCAATGGATGAAGAAATTCTGGCTCCTGCTGACGACAACCTGGAACAGCTGGAGAATGGCAGCCCCATTGAATGCAGTGGCCATGTGGCTGTGACCGACAGGCAGTGTATGTTCGTTTGGGAGGGGGGATATAAGGTGAGTGGGAGGAGGAAGGTGGTGTTTTGAAGTGCAACAGGTGGGAAAAGGAGAAAAGGAAGCAAAGGTGTGTCCCTTGACCTCTTCCCCCTACTCCCACCCAGAAGATGCAGGGGATATAAAGGGAACGGATGCAAGATGGTGGGGAGGCTTGGTGTGGGTTAAGACAGGCTTGCTTTCTAGGTGCCTTCCTTATCTAAAATAAAAGCCTAGCAACCCCATGCATCGGTGATCCATTTCTGGTTTTCCAAAAAAAAAAAAAAAAAAAAAACAGGAGAAAAACAATGAAGAGCAAATTTGCAAAAATTTGATCCCTTTGACATCCGTGTCCTCATGCCAACCCTGTTTGGGACCTTTTTTCCTGTCATGCTGAAGCACACCTTTGGAGCTGCAACAGAAGGTGTCTATCTCTGGGCTAGATCCGTTGGAAAGCTCTTTAATCTCTCTAGATTGAGAGTGAAGACCAAATTCAATTGAAATGCATTCAGGACTTCCTGTTCGCCGATGATGCAGCCATTGTTGCCCACTCTGCTGAAGATCTCCAACAACACATGAATCGTTTTAGCAAGGCCTGCCAAGACTTTGGACTAACAATCAGCCTGAAGAAAACACAAGTCATGGGCCAGGGCGTGGACTCACCTCCCTCTATTACCATCTCTACACAAGAATTGCAGGTAGTTCATGACTTTGTGTACCTTGGCTCAATGATCTCTGACACTCTCTCCCTAGATGTTGAGCTTGATAAACAGACTGGCAAAGCAGCTACCATGTTCTCTAGACTCACAAAGAGAGTATGGCTCAATAAGAAGCTGACGACATATACAAAGATCCAGGTCTATAGAGCCTGTATCCTGAG